AGCATGAGGAGGCGGTACAGGGGCGCATGACAGATTACGAGCCTGGCAGCAGCAACTTGGACAGGAGGACGTTCAGCTTCTGCACCGTCGGGTGCGTGCTCGCAAACTGTTGTCTCTTGGAAACGGATTCCAAGAAAGACTGCTGACGGAATCCGTGAAGAGGAGTAGCAGGAGAAGGAGCATCTGAACGAGCGGAATATGCCAACAAGCGACAACAGGGGCCCATGACAGATTACGGGCCTGGCAGCAGCATGAGGAGTCGGTACGGGGGCCCATGGCAGATTACGGGCCTGGCAGCAGCAATGGGAGGCCCGTAATCTGCCAGCACCCTATGACAAAAAATGGAACACACCAGCAGTGTGAGGAGACCTGAAAGTGGCACATGGCATGAGACACTGTGGACCTGGCAGCAGCATGAGGAGGCGGTACAGGGGCCCATGGCAGATTAGGGGCCTGGCAGCAGCTATGGGAGGCCCGTAATCTGCCAGCACCCTATGACAAAAAATGGAACACACCAGCAGTGTGAGGAGACCTGAAAGTGGCACATGGCAGAGTGTGACGATGGAGACAGCAGCAATGGGAGGCCGTACAGGGACCCATGAGAGACTGTGGACCTGGCAGCAGCATGAGGGAGGCGGTACTGGGGCCCATGGCAGATTAGGGGCCTGGCAGCAGCAATGGGAGGCCCGTAATCTGCCAGCACCCTATGACAAAAAATGGAACACACCAGCAGTGTGTGAGGAGACCTGAAAGTGGCACATGGCAGAGTGTGGCGATGGAGACAGCAGCAATGGGAGGCCGTACAGGGACCCATGAGAGACTCTGGACCTGGCAGCAGCATGAGGAGGCGGTACAGGGGCCCATGGCAGATTAGGGGCCTGGCAGCAGCTATGGGAGGCCCGTAATCTGCCAGCACCCTATGACAAAAAATGGAACACACCAGCAGTGTGAGGAGACCCTGAAAGTGGCACATGGCAGAGTGTGGCGATGGAGACAGCAGCAATGGGAGGCCGTACAGGGACCCATGAGAGACTGTGGACCTGGCAGCAGCATGAGGAGGCGGTACTGGGGCCCATGGCAGATTACGGGCCTGGCAGCAGCTATGGGAGGCCCGTAATCTGCCAGCACCCCTATGACAAAAAATGGAACACACCAGCAGTGTGAGGAGACCTGAAAGTGGCACATGGCAGAGTGTGGCATTGGAGACAGCAGCAATGGGAGGCCGTACAGGGACCCATGAGAGACTGTGGACCTGGCAGCAGCATGAGGAGGCGGCACAGGGGCCCATGGCAGATTACGGGCCTGGAAGCAGCAATGGGAGGCCCGTAATCTGCCAGCACCCTATGACAAAAAATGTAACACACCAGCAGTGTGAGGAGACCTGAAAGTGGCACATGGCAGAGTGTGGCGATGGAGACAGCAGCAATGGGAAGCGGTTTCAGGGACCCATGAGACACTGTGGACCTGGCAGCAGCATGAGGAGGCGGTACAGGGGCCCATGGCAGATTAAGGCCTGGCAGCAGCAATGGGAGGCCCGTAATCTGCCAGCACCCTATGACAAAAATGGAACCCTGGGCTGGGGCAGGCAGAACCGCCGTATCTTTATCACGTTTTTCCCAGGCCACCAAATGGCGACGCTGCATATGCTGACGCAACGCTGTAGTCCCAACATGGGCCCCCCTGGCCACGCTTGACTTTCTGGCCACATAGGACGACATACGGCTACGTTTACTTCCTCGGGCGGCTTGACGAAAAATTGCCACACCGCCGAGTAGGAAACTTTGCCCCCACTACTCCATCACTGGCTGACTGGTACTTCCTCCGTGCACACCGGCACCACTACAGGCCGTGGTGGTAGGCTGCAGTGGAGCTGGTGCTCTACTCCGTGGCCGTTTGCCTCCACTGACACTGCTGCGACCCTGTGCTACCTGGAGACTGCAGCAGCAATGGGAGGCCGTACAGGGACCCATGACACACTCTGGACCTGGCAGCAGCATGAAGAGGCGGTACAGGGGCCCATGGCAGATTACGGGCCTGGCAGCAGCTAATGGGAGGCCCATAATCTGCCAGCACCCCCTATGACAAAAAAATGGAACACACCAGCAGTGTGTGAGGAGACCTGAAAGTGGCACATGGCATGAGACACTGGAGTGGACCTGGCAGCAGCATGAGGAGGCGGTACAGGGGCCCATGGCAGATTACGGGCCTGGCAGCAGCAATGGGAGGCCCGTAATCTGCCAGCACCCTATGATGAAAAAAAATGGAACACAACAGCAGTGTGAGGAGACCTGAAAGTGGCACATGGCATGAGACACTGTGGACCTGGCAGCAGCATGATGGAGGCGGTACAGGGGCCCATGGCAGATTAGGGGCCTGGCAGCAGCTATGGGAGGCCCGTAATCTGCCAGCACCCTATGACAAAAAATGGAACACACCAGCAGTGTGTGAGGAGACCTGAAAGTGGCACATCGCAGAGTGTGGCGATGGAGACAGCAGCAATGGGAGGCCGTACAGGGACCCATGACACACTCTGGACCTGGCAGCAGCATGAGGAGGCGGTACAGGGGCCCATGGCAGATTACGGGCCTGGCAGCAGCAATGGGAGGCCCGTAATCTGCCAGCACCCTATGACAAAAAATGGAACACACCAGCAGTGTGAGGAGACCTGAAAGTGGCACATGTTTGGGCATGATTCATGGCGGATTTAGTCAGTTGTGTCAGGAACTGGTGGTTTGAAATCCAGACTAATCCACGCCTGATTCATTTTCACAAACGTGAGTTTCTCCACACTTTGGGTGGACAGTCGTGTCCTCCGCGGAGTTACAATACCTCCTGCCGCACTAAACACGCGCTCCGATGCCACGCTACTGGCCGGGCATGACAGCATTTCAAGGGCAAATTCAGCTAGTTGGGGCCAAAGGTCAAGTTTCGTTGCCCAGTAGTCAAGGGGATTGTCTACCTCGGTTGGCAGGGTGCTGTCCAAGTAGGCCTAAGCCTGTTGTTTGAGGTCCTGCTCCAGGTCCACCTGATGCTGCTGCTGCTGCTGCTGTGGCTGGTTAGTAGTTTCCTCACTGCGCTGGTGAAGAAAGCTACTACATCATCGACTGCAGACTGAGGCAGCTGCTGCTGGTGGAGCTGCCACTGCTCCTACCACCCCACCCCCCTCCCCTGCTGCCATGGCAGCGGAACGCGAGCGCACAGGGCCCACAGTGTCTGAGGATGGACGTTGGCGCAGAAAGGCAGAGACCAGCTGACTACATAGGTGGTTTTTATAGTACGTTATTTTGGCCTCCCTCTCAGCAGGTGTGAAAAAGGCCACCATTTTTGAACGGTAGCGAGGGTCCAACAAGGTGGACAGCCAAAAGTCATCCCTCTGTCTTATGGTTATTATTCGGCTGTCGCTACGCAAACAAGCGAGCATGCTATGGGCCATTTGTGTCAAGGAATGCGAGGGACTCCCTGCCTCCATCTCCACAGCATACTGCCACGGTGCGTCTGGGTCCTCTGTCTCCTCCTCCTCCTCCTCTACCAGATGCTCCTGCTCCTCCACTCCTGTCCGCTGAGTGGAAAAACCCCCATTTCACTCAAAAATTCCTGAGCACCAATGTCCTCCTCTACCTCCTCCTCTTCTTCCTGTCCTGCCCCCACAGGGGTCATGTGGCATTGAGATCTGTGCGCCACGTCTACCGCACCCTGACCAGCCATTGTTAACAGCATTTGTTCCAGGACGTGCAACAGAGGAATGACATCGTTCATCCCATAGTCCTGCCGACTCACGAATAGCGTGGCCTCCTCAAAGGGCCTGAGCAATCGCAGGTGTCACGCATGAGCTGCCAATGGCTGACATCTAAGTTACACAGGGAGTAGTACCTTTATCCGCTTTTAACATCAGGAAATCTGTGATGGCCTTTCGCTGTTCGTAAAGGCGGTCTAACATATGTAGGGTTGAATTCCACCTTGTTGCAACAACGTCACAGCAAGAGGAGTCGGTACGGGGGCCCATGGCAGATTACGGGCCTGGCAGCAGCAATGGGAGGCCCGTAATCTGCCAGCACCCTATGACAAAAAAATGTAACACACCAGCAGTGTGAGGGAGATCTGAAAGTGGCACATGGCAGAGTGTGGCGATGGAGACAGCAGCAATGGGAGGCCGTACAGGGACCCATGAGAGACTCTGGACTTGGCAGCAGCATGAGGAGGCGGTATATAGGGGCCCATGGCAGATTAGGGGCCTGGCAGCAGCTATGGGAGGCCCGTAATCTGCCAGCACCCTATGACAAAAAATGGAACACACCAGCAGTGTGTGAGGAGACCTGAAAGTGGCACATGGCATGAGACATGGAGGACACAGCAATGGGCAGTACAGGGACAGCACAGTGTGAGGTGGTACAGGGGCCCATGGCAGATTAGGGGCCTGGCAGCAGCTATGGGAGGCCCGTAATCTGCCAGCACCCTATGACAAAAAATGGAACACACCAGCAGTGTGAGGAGACCTGAAAGTGGCACATGGCAGAGTGTGGCGATGTAGACAGCAGCAATGGGAGGCCGTACAGGGACCCATGAGAGACTCTGGACCTGGGCAGCAGCATGAGGAGGCGGTATAGGGGGCCCATGGCAGATTAGGGGGCCTGGCAGCAGCTATGGGAGGCCCGTAATCTGCCAGCACCCTATGACAAAAAATGGAACACACCAGCAGTGTGAGGAGACCTGAAAGTGGCACATGGCATGAGACACTGTGGACCTGGCAGCAGCATGAGGAGGCGGTATAGGGGCCCATGGCAGATTAGGGGCCTGGCAGCAGCTATGGGAGGCCCGTAATCTGCCAGCACCCTATGACAAAAAATGGAACACACCAGCAGTGTGAGGAGACCTGAAAGTGGCACATGGCATGAGACACTGTGGACCTGGCAGCAGCATGAGGAGGTGGTACAGGGGCCCATGGCAGATTAGGGGCCTGGCAGCAGCAGCAATGGGAGGCCCGTAATCTGCCAGCACCCTATGACAAAAAATGAACACACCAGCAGTGTGAGGAGACCTGAAAGTGGCACATGGCAGAGTGTGGCGATGGAGACAGCAGCAATGGGAGGCCGTACAGGGACCCATGAGAGACTCTGGACCTGGCAGCAGCATGAGGAGGCGGTACAGGGGCCCATGGCAGATTACGGGCCTGGCAGCAGCAATGGGAGGCCCGTAATCTGCCAGCACCCTATGACAAAAAATGGAACACACCAGCAGTGTGAGGAGACCTGAAAGTGGCACATGTTTGGGGGCATGATTCATGGCGGATTTAGTCAGTTGTGTCAGGAACTGGTGGTTTGAAATCCAGACTAATCCACGCCTGATTCATTTTCACAAACGTGAGTCTCTCCACACTTTGGGTGGACAGTCGTGTCCTCCGCGGAGTTACAATACCTCCTGCCGCACTAAACACGCGCTCCGATGCCACGCTACTGGCCGGGCATGACAGCCTTTCAAGGGCAAATTCAGCTAGTTGGGGCCAAAGGTCAAGTTTCGTTGCCCAGTAGTCAAGGGGATTGTCTACCTCGGTTGGCAGGGTGCTGTCCAAGTAGGCCTAAGCCTGTTGTTTGAGGTCCTGCTCCAGGTCCACCTGATGCTGCTGCTGCTGCGGCTGGTTAGTAGTTTCCTCACTGCGCTGGTGAAGAAAGCTACTCATCATCGACTGCAGACTGAGGCAGCTGCTGCTGGTGGAGCTGCCACTGCTCCTACCACCCCACCCCTCCCCTGCTGCCATGGCAGCGGAACGCGAGCGCACAGGGCCCACAGTGTCTGATGATGGACGTTGGCGCAGAAAGGCAGAGACCAGCTGACTACATAGGTGGTTTTTATAGTACGTTATTTTGGCCTCCCCTCAGCAGGTGTGAAAAAGGCCACCATTTTTGAACGGTAGCGAGGGTCCAACAAGGTGGACAGCCAAAAGTCATCCCTCTGTCTTATGGTTATTATTCGGCTGTCGCTACGCAAGCAAGCGAGCATGCTATGGGCCATTTGTGCCAAGGAATGCGAGGGACTCCCTGCCTCCATCTCCACAGCATACTGCCACGGTGCGTCTGGGTCCTCTGTCTCCTCCTCCTCCTCCACTACCAGATGCTCCTGCTCCTCCACTCCTGTCCGCTGAGTGGAAAAAACACCCATTTCACTCATAATTCCTGAGCACCAATGTCCTCCTCTACCTCCTCCTCTTCTTCCTGTCCTGCCCCCACAGGGGTCATGTGGCGTTGAGATCTGTGCGCCACGTCTACCGCACCCTGACCAGCCATTGTTAACAGCATTTGTTCCAGGACGTGCAACAGAGGAATGACGTCGTTCATCCCATAGTCCTGCCGACTCACGAATAGCGTGGCCTCTCAAAGGGCCTGAGCAAGCGCAGGTGTCACGCATGAGCTGCCAATGGCTGACATCTAAGTTACACAGGGAGTACCTTTATCCGCTTGTAACATCAGGAAATCTGTGATGGCCTTTCGCTGTTCGTAAAGGCGGTCTAACATATGTAGGGTTGAATTCCACCTTGTTGCAACGTCACATCATGAGGAGTCGGTACGGGGGCCCATGGCAGATTACGGGCCTGGCAGCAGCAATGGGAGGCCCGTAATCTGCCAGCACCCTATGACAAAAAATGTAACACACCAGCAGTGTGTGTGAGGAGACTGAAAGTGGCACATGGCAGAGTGTGGCGATGTAGACAGCAGCAATGGGAGGCCGTACAGGGACCCATGAGAGACTCTGGACTTGGCAGCAGCATGAGGAGGCGGTATAGGGGGGCCCATGGCAGATTAGGGGCCTGGCAGCAGCTATGGAGGGCCCGTAATCTGCCAGCACCCTATGACAAAAAATGGAACACACCAGCAGTGTGAGGAGACCTGAAAGTGGCACATGGCATGAGACACTGTGGACCTGGCAGCAGCATGAGGAGGCGGTATAGGGGCCCATGGCAGATTAGGGGCCTGGCAGCAGCTATGGGAAGCCCGTAATCTGCCAGCACCCTATGACAAAAAATGGAACACACCAGCAGTGTGAGGAGACCTGAAAGTGGCACATGGCATGAGACACTGTGGACCTGGCAGCAGCATGGGAGGCGGTATAGGGGCCCATGGCAGATTAGGGGCCTGGCAGCAGCTATGGGAGGCCCGTAATCTGCCAGCACCCCTATGACAAAAAATGGAAAAAATGAACACACCAGCTGTCAGGGCTCCCAGGTGTGACCAGAGATGTTTGACTGACGCAGGGAAACGCAGACCTCAGATATGTTATAAACAATATAATTTATTAACACTAACTAATACAAACATAAACGCAGTGCAATACTAAAACATAATACAGTGCAAACAAACCAAACCAAACCACCCACAGATAACAGTACATACAAGCAAGCGTCGTCAGGCAGGCCGGGTCAATATCAATAGGGAGGTAGGTACAGGGGGGAGCAAGCGGAGATTGGTCAGGGTCACAAGCCAGGGATCAGAACAGGTAGCAAGCAGCGTGGTACAGAGGGTCAGACAGAGGGATGGTCAGGAGCGAGCCGGGATCAGAGCAGGAGAAGTCAGCAGCAGTTCAGAACAGGATGCAGGACAGAAACAGGATACAGGGCCCAGGACAAACACACACCAAGGCAGAGTCTGTGGGTCTGGCCATCCCTTAAATACCCCAGCATAATCAGTTACAGGTGTTAGCTGGCTGCAAAGTTGAGTCTCTGATTGCTGGGAACACCCGCTGGCCAGCCCTGGTACTCGCAGATCAAAAGGCAGGTGAGTCCCACCATAGCTGGCCAGTCCATTCCTGACAGTACCCCCCCCTCTCAAGGAGCAGCCTCAGGACGCTCCAAAACAGTCCTAGCTGGGGAAAAATGTTCCACCGCCCGGGTCTGGTAACTGGCGGATATCAAAGACTGGCACACCGGGCAGGGCAGCGGTACTCCGGGCACAGCACATCGGGCTGGACACCGGGCAGAGGCACATCGGGCTGGACTCCGGGCAGAGGCACATCGGGCTGGACTCCGGGCAGAGGCACATCGGGCTGGACTATCCGGGAGGCAGAGGCACATCGGGCTGGACTCCGGGCAGAGGCACACCGGGCAGAGAGCACAATCGGGCTGGACTCCGGGCAGAGGCACATCGGGCATGACCACCGGCAGAGGCATCAGCGGGCTGGACTCCGGCAGGGCAGAGGCGCCGGACTACCGGGCAGTCAGGCACATCGGGCCGGGACTCCGTGCAGAGGCACATCGGGCCGGACCTCCGGGCAAGGCACATCGGGCCGGACGACCGGTCAGAGGCAACAGATCGGTCCGGTCCGGACTCCGGTCAGAGGCAACAACGGAGGGCGGGGGGTGCCGGACCGTCCGTGCATAGGCTCAATCCGGGGCCGGACTCC